CCTGCCAATAAAACTTGTGCTTCTATTGTTTTTCAGAAAAACTAAATCATTATAAGGATTAGCATCTTTGTTCTCAATTCTAAAAAACCACTCCATGAATGTTGGTTCTTGCTGCACAAATTAGCATATTGGCAAATTCTCTCAAAGCCAAACATTTTCCAGTCGACCCTTTATGCCACAATATCAATGTAATTGTGCATATGCGTGTTCTCAGGCGAACACTTCAAAGACATTGTGGGTAGCGCTTATTACATTGCTCCAGAAGTGTTGAAGAGAAACTATGGACCGGAGGTCGACATATGGAGTGTTGGTGTCATGCTTTATATCCTTCTTTCGGGTGTTCCTCCTTTCTGGGCAGGTACTCTTTTCATTTCCTTGTGTAATCTTTTCTAGTTTGCCTGGGCTGGGAAAATTTACTGATTTGATCACGCATTCCGTGAGCAGAATCGGAGACGGGCATTTTCAATGCTATATTAAGGGGGCACATTGACTTCTCATCCGATCCATGGCCTTCAATCTCAAGCGGAGCAAAGGATCTCGTGATGAAGATGCTCAACTCGGACCCCAAGCAAAGGCTCACAGCAGCTCAAGTGCTAAGTACGTAAATTTAATTTTTGAATTATTGACAGTGCACATAGATTCATGACATAAACCGTTATAAATAAGGTGTTTACTACTTGCAGGTCATCCATGGATCAAGGAGGATGGTGATGCACCTGATACACCTCTTGACAATGCTGTCCTCAACAGGCTCAAACAGTTCAGAGCTATGAATCAATTCAAAAAAGTTGCTCTTCGGGTAAGCAAAGATTCTTGCTGTAAAATCGAGCTAAACAACAGAGGTAGTTTAACACAATATATTCCAACACAAAATTAAGTATAATTGCTATTTAATCGAATCTGGGCTTGTTCTGCATAACAAATTTCAAACCATAAAAGGTCATAGCCGGCTGCCTGTCAGAGGAAGAAATCATGGGACTCAAAGAGATGTTCAAAGGCATGGACGCCGACAACAGTGGAACTATAACCCTTGAGGAGTTAAAGCAAGGGCTGGCCGAGCAAGGCACAAAGCTATCTGAAACAGAAGTCAAACAGCTCATGGAAGCTGTAAGTTCTCAACAAACACCCAACTATCCTCTGAGACGATTACAACTCAATCCAAATATATTTTATTTATATATTTTGTTAATTGCAAAAAAATCAGGCTGATGCCGATGGGAATGGGACCATAGACTATGAAGAATTCATCACGGCAACAATGCACATGAACAGAATGGACAGGGAAGAGCATCTCTACACAGCTTTCCAGTATTTCGACAAGGACAATAGCGGGTAATAAATTATATAACAATTGAATTACTGACGACATTTTAGAAAAATTCATGTTATTTACATTCTAAGCAATTAATTGATATTTTTTCTTTTTCCTTTGATAAGGTACATCACAATAGAAGAGCTCGAGCAAGCGCTCAGAGACTTTGGAATGGGTGATGACAAGGACATTAAAGAAATCATCTCTGAAGTTGATGCTGATAATGTAAGCAAAACAACTCAGAACGTTCTCTCAAGGCATATTTTGACAAAACCCAATCCATGGATTAATATTATAACATGTCGAAAAACATGCAGGATGGCCGGATCAATTACGATGAATTTGCAGCCATGATGAAGAAAGGTAATCCAGAAATAGTAGCGAATACAAAGAAAAGGAGGAGTGGAGTCTTCACTTCCTAGAATGTGGAAAAGGCCGACATAAGGAGAAGATGAACTGTGTTTTTACTATATACAATTAAGTAAAATTTTCAAATGGGGGAAAAGCATAGTGTTCTGCGGATCTTAAAAGTACTGCACTATAGCTTCATATATACATAAAAAAATGTAGCTCCATAAATTTATATACATATATACATATATAAATCATGTACATTAGCGTCATCCAAATTGTGATAACTACAGGAAATATGTTTGGCACTTGTTTTAGTCAATCAATAACAAATGTAAATATAGATATAGCTGCACTTTAATTCTGTGTAGTGACCCCATATATAACATATATATCAACCATTTTCATCCTTAATTATAATAATGGTTATCATTCAATATTAAACATGTGCACACAAATACGAGTACACAGCACCGTAGGAGAAAAATACGCAGGCAAAATATTCTCCTTTTTAGTTTTTACACAACTTATCATTTACGCTGCGTTAAGATAAACTTATGCTACTTTACACTTCAAGAAACTATGGTAAACTAGCACTTAACAAAAGATATTAAACACTTAATTTGATCCCTTTTCAAATTCTACACAGGATGTTACTCAAGCAGGTTTGTGAGCCACTATATGCACACATGATGATTTAAATGCCGTAATGGTCCAAAAAAACTATGAAAAAATTCAAATGCAGAAGCACAGCGCCATTATCTAGTTTCCATAACGACACTGAATCCACATAAGGGATAAATAAGTGGGAGCAATTACAGTCACTATCTAGGGGCCGTTTGGATAAACTAAATTCACAACATATGAAGAACAGATGTTACATTAATCCTACCTTATCAGCTTACACTACATTCTTGAATCAAAGATGACAACCTTACGGTTTAGATGCTTTAGTTACCCCCATTAACAGACAAAGCCAACAAAAATTAGTACATAGCTCAAGTTCTATAATCCAAACTTCCATCTGAATTAATATACATGTTACCATGAAAAATACAGAATACACAAGACAAGTAAAACATTTAAATACACATCAGTTCCAAAATCCTCCATTCAATTAAAAAATCAGAATCCGTACATCACACATCTATCCACCGAGAAGAAGACAGCCACAACAATATTTTTCTTTTACCCTGCCATATGATGAAAAGAAAAAACCAAAGCATTAATGGCCTCATAGCACAACAAACTACTTATCTTTAGAAGCAGGAGTGCCAATCCCGTATTTCTCCTGGAGTTTCTGAATCTCCTCCTCCTTCTTCCTCTGGTCAAATTTCTTGCCCATCTTTGCCTGCTGGTAATACAAGACGATCAGGTACCTGTTGGCAACGTTGAAGCCCGAGAGGTGGTCCACGGCGGTCTTCGCGTCGTAGATATCCTCGTACACAACGAAGGCGGTGCCACGCGTGTCCTTGTTCGTGCCGATGCGGATCTGACGTATGGCGCCGTACTTACCGAATATGTCGTACATCTCCTCGCTCGTTATGTTGAAGGGAAGGTTTCGGACGTACAATACACGGTTCACCTCCGGCGGGAGACGGGTGTTGCTCTTGCGGAGGCTGAGTGCGGCCATTGACAGAATATCCGAGACGTTTTCCGAAATTTAGGGCTCCAAATTTGGACTTTGGCGATTTAGGGATATTTTATTTTGGGTAAAATATTTTTTTCCCAAACTATCGGTTTTGGCGCATCACCATATAAACTATTTTTTTGTTACAAACCACCATATGAACTATACGAGTTTGTGAATATGCCCCCTAAACTAGATATAAAAGTGGTTTAGGGACTACATTGACAAACCCGTGATAGTTCATATGGTGGTTTGTAAAAGTATTTAGGGGAACATATGGTCAGAAATTCTATGGCACCACATGTGGCACCATATTATGGTGCCACAACATAATGTGGCACATTATGATTGGTGCCACAACATGATGTGTGATAGTCGCGGCACCAATCATAATGTGTCACATCATGTTGTGGCACCATAATATGGTGTCACATGTGGTGCCATAGAATTTCTGAACATATGGTGACCAAATAACTTTTTCAGTCAAAACCACTTTTTTATCTGGTTTTGGGGCACATAGAAAAACCCGTATAATTCAGATGGTGGTTTGTAAAAAAATAGATCATATGGTGATGCGCCAAAACTGTTGTAACACCCCACTTTGATTTTAAAGAAATTCCGGACTTTCTAAAAATCAGAACAAATTTTTGAATTCATTTTCGAAATCAAGGG